TGACAAGGCTAGAGTTACTCCCGCTGGAGCCCAGAGTTTGCGAGATCAGCTCCATCATCTACACAATATGGACATCGCCCATGGTGACCTGTTTCCACGAAATATAATGGGATCAAATGATGGCCGTGCATTTATTGTTGATTTCAGCTCTGCAAAGTTATGGCCTCACAGTTCCTTTATGATACGCAAAAGAGAAGACTTCCTATGCTACACTCAAAGTGAGAAATGCAAACTTGAACTACTTTTGTTTCGCCTTCAAAAGGTAAAGCTCTTCCCTCTTGATTCATGCGAGATTTTAGCTTATGGAAACCAGTTAAAACGGCACCAAGGCATGACATTCAGCACAACTGAAAGTGAGGAACAAGCATACGGTCGCCCGGTGTGTTCCTGGGCAAATGCAAATTATGCGGTTGTTGAGTAAGAAGTCTTTGCAGGAGATATCTATGTATGGTAATCCAGTATCAGCATCCATTAAAACACATTACCAGGTCAGACACAGACATCACAAGTGGCGGAATGCTGCAAGATCCCAGCTTCATATTAGGATCCTACGCAAATAAAGCACATAGACCACACGGGCGGTAACAACCCCAGCACAGTATGAACCAACAATCTCAACAACTTGGCATGAACAGAGACACTCTGATTATCCGCCTCTCCCCACCCCTCGCATTCATTGTCCTCATTTTCGACGTGACTAGCTAGGCGGTCAGCAATAAAGCCCACTAGATGTGGAAATAAATGTTTACCAGTAATGAAATGTTACGCGCCACATCGCGATCCCCTTTCTCAGAAGCCTGCTTGCGTTCAAGCAGGAACCGCCGGGCTAAATAAATGGTCCGGTATCTTGGCGGCAAACTCACGCGCAAGTCGGTCAATTTTTTCATCATTGGTCTTCTTTTCTGGGTTGCTGTCATCATCAACCCACCGGATGAAAACTGTGCAGAAAAGACAAGAACTCATCTCCTCATCAGCGAGCACTCTCTAGTTACTCCGCCCGCTGTGAAACGAATGCAACCGCCCCTTGTTTTATAAAGTAGCATCACATACAAATTTTGATGTGATGGTACAAAGTGGCTCACTCATCTATATCTCACTTGCTTATCAACTACATTCTGATAAAGGTGTTGAAGAGCACCAGATGTTGAAGTAGGAGAACTAAATGGGAACGTTTACAAGTTTCAGAAGCCCTCTAGAGGTCATCACCGCGAGCTGTCAATGACCCAGGCATACTATCGATAGAGCGATGCCGCAGCCTGGCTCAATGCCCCACAGCAACCAACACAATCACTCTGCATCTGTGATAATTATAGGGATTCTGGGGGATACCTCTCATGTTCAGCAAGCTCGACATCATTATGCCGGCGCCCATCAATCGACTCCGTTTATCAACTATTGGGAAACGTTGTAGGTCCCGAGGCCCCACTGCCTCCAGTCGGTGGTCCTTGGCATTAATATAGAGGAAGACTTTTAATTGGTGATCATCAATGATACACACAAATTTAGTCTGAGATGTTCCCTGGAGGATAAATTAAAAGGCGGGGTTCTTGGGGCTTCGAACTGTGTCTAGAGGTCGTCGGGTCGTGTGGTCCGATTGGAAATCCATATTATCATGGCCAATTAGATTGATTATAGCTGTGAAAATCAGAGCAACTGAGTGTGCTAGGAAAGCAACATCTCAGAAATGTGCTCCACTGTGCAATGCAACTCCGCAAATGAGCTTGGCACTCTTTGTTGAATATGTTCACTCCCCACCCATCATTCAAACCTTGATCTGTAGACCTGGGTGCCCAAAATAATTGAAATATTGAAGCAAATGGCCGCGGTACTCGAGATGATAACACCAGGGAGTAAAGAGCATTATGATGCCAATCTACAGACCTCTGCAAGAGAGGATCGGGATGCAGCACATAGCATTTGAGTGCTGATAAGCATTATTTCCAATATCCAAGGGCTGTGACAATACAGCTCAGCACGACAAAATCATGGAGATCCATAGTCAGATACTTGAAATGATTGAAATATTTGAGTGAATGTCTGCAATACTCAAGACAATAGAAACATGAAGTAAAGAACAATATGATGCTAATCTACGGGCCTCTGAAAGAAAATTGGAATGCACTGCATAACATTTGAGTGCAGGTAAGTGTTTTTTTCCATATCCAGTGAGCTCTATTGCTGATGGTTCAGCAAGGTATGTCAAGAATGAGTATAATGAATGGAATGAATGGGAATTGACATCGGGTTATTGAGATTGTTGATTTCTTGCTGTGGCTGTCCGTGAGATAAAATCAGACGCGGAAGACAAAGTGACTTTCTGAAACCCAATTGTTATTGCTGGTTGATGTAGACCTAAACATTCGCCAGCTGTGTACAGAATAGTTCTATTCTTAGTTGTAAAAATTAAAAATATGTGAAATTAATTGGCGAAATAAAAATATATTTGGACATTTCAATCCACAGGTGTCCGCCGCGGGGTCACCCCCACCTTCCACAAGAGGATTCTTTCAAGGATAAACATTAGGTTGGGCATCAAACTTCTTTTAACGAAATCATATACATATCTAACTGTCTTGAAACGCGATACGGACAATTTGGGCAACTTTAGGAATAATTAATTTACTAGGAAAACGCACGATCGCAACCCCCCTCATATCTTAACCCGTTGTCGCCTACCTGTCGTCGTGGTGTCGCCACTTTATTCGCGCTGGCGTACATCCAAATACCCTGTACTACTTTATTCGGTTTTTTCTCAGCTAAGGCGATTATTCAACAACTATGGATAAGGATGAAGTTGAGGACAACGGGGTTCCAATTGAAACACTTTCAGAAAAAGACATCCTTGAGGAAATAAAAGATAGGCTCCGGCAAGTGGGAAATTTGGTAGGAGAATCAATTCTACAACTTTATAGAGATGGTCTACTAATGTTGATAAGCCAACTAACGGAATCACACTGGACCCTGAAATGACGAGTACGTCAGGCGTCGTGACAGTAGGCTCAACCGTTTTGGCCCTTCTGGTCACAAGTAATGGCGGCGGTGGGGTCGTCAGAGTACTCAGCAAGCCGGCGAGGTACACGAAAACAGATGGATTGCCAGGAGAAGTTCTTCTTACGCTGAAGCCTGGTGAGAAGTTTTTGATCCTGGGTTCACTTTCAGTTCGCTATATTCGCAGTCGAAACACCCAATGAATATACAAGGTCATTTGCCAATTCCCAGGCGAACAGCAACGCGACACTTGATCCCATGTCTGATGTAACCTTGATTTCAACTGATGGGAAGGCGCTGTACCATGGAAGTTTCAATTTCAGATTCGGACAGGAAGTCTCATATTGTTGGAGTAAACTTATTGTGGCCGGCCGATTCGTGAGGCTGTTGCTAGTTTGAAGGAAGTGGATGAGTTCTCGGGTGGTGATATTGACCTCTTGGTACGGCGGCTCGCTTGGTAGGAGGCTGACTTGAAGCATTGATGTCTCGTCACGGTATACGAACATAGATCCTTCCATTGCACTTGACTGGCTATCGCTGTATGCATTTTCTTTATCTTTGGGCGACAGTAGTGCGATTCTATCAGTCAGCGGTTACTTAGTTAAAATAGATGCACTTTACCAGTTTCTACATATTCAATCCCCTCCAGTTCACAGATATCCTTCACGGTTTCCAATAGCCTCTCCGGGTGTTCAACGCTTCTCCACCAGCTGCGAAGTTTTGGGATAAGCTCAAGATAACTCTTTTGCCCTATTTCACTGACCGTCACGAAGAAGGAGTAAAGGGCAAAGACGGAGGAGCTCAGTTTCGAAATTTTCTCTAAGTTTTCTCGTGCTGTTAATTTCCTCTGACGTGTTGAGCTTTTGTTTTGGCGCAAAACTTGAAGATTTTCCTTGAGAAGTTTGCAAGTAGCGCTGAATCGATTGAGCTGGTGAGTTGTTGGTTGGTGAGTTTCATTGTAGTACTTTTGTCTTTCCTCTTCCAACAGTTTGGTAAGCGGGTCTCGAAGCAACGCGATTCTGATATTTGGAATGGGGATTATGAGGGATTTTGAGAGTTGGATCAGAAAATGGGAAATTTGGGAAGTTTATGATTTCTGGTGGCAATTGGGATCCGTCCTCGCGCTTTTCGTTTGGCGCCGGATCATCGGCCCGAAAAGGCCATTTGCTGAAAACTGGGCGTTATTGGGCAGTGGCTTGGTCCCAATGCAATGTTGGTGACCCCATTCAAACATATCAACCGTTACTTTTTTTATACCCATCCCTGCTTATAATGCCGTTTCTCGCTACGGAAAGTGCTCCCAACTGAGCCAATAGGAGCTTCTCAAGCGAAAATGATTTACTGCCTAATCTCAACATCCACAATTTATTGGCAAATCACTTCTTCAGTCACGAAGACCGGTCCGTTGGAGCGCACGCCTGGAAGAGATTCAAAGGAGATTGCATACATTCTCAAAGTGTTTGGACAGCCTCAAAAAGTCGGTTCTACCAGCCGGCTTACTAACCATGATTTTCAGGATTGATGGGCCGTTCCGTCAGACAATCAGTGGTCTTGGCTCGCGTCTTCTGACATGTGACGGGCAAGCGTTGATCCGTTTATTTTGGGCAAGATGGCTGGCATTTGTTCCTTCCTAGGTCTCTTTCCTCGTACCCATTTCGCTTTTTGATATAATTCGTTTGACACAATGAAGGAAGGGACTTCATACCCAATCAGACATGCGCCAGGGCGCAAGCTTTGTGGCTCCAGAAGGTTGAAGCCGTTCCAGTACCAGAAACGACGGGTTGGTTGGCCTGCTTTAATCCTAAATGGGAATAGCCGGCTTTCCTCACTACCTGTTTTGTTCGCGCTTGTTACCATTCCGTCGCGGGTATCAATACATCATTACTTCCTAACTATTCTGCATTTTTGTTCCCGTGTTTGCTTCCCAATTCATCATATGAAATCAGCATATTTCTCCCCTTACAACTTCTAGTTAACCTCACACCAACTCAACGGTCTTGTATACCGTTAAAATGAAGGGACTTTCACAAGAAGATCGCAAAATTATCAAGAATCACCCTCTCACCAACTCAGTCAATCATCTACAAGCCGCGCTTCAGGAAGCTGAAAAAATATATGAATCACATCGAACGCCGTACGATGGCCAACGCTATCAAAATGTGATTTCAAAACTTGTCTATGCTTTATAGGGAGAGGGTGCAGCCTACAGCCTTCCGTCGCGAATCAATGAAGGGAACGTGGCGTCTGATCTAGCACAATTATTCGAGCGCCTCCGAAAGGCAAAAGGAAACTTCAGGTACGACGACTACCAGCCGCTGGTGCACCTGGTTATTCAAAGGCCTCCGACTGAATCCCAGAACGTCGAAACCTGGAACTTCGATGTCTGGAGCGCGGTCTTTTGTCTTATTGACGCCGTCTCGCGAGGCACTCCCCCTCCTCCTCATCATCATCCTACATCATCCCTCCAACAGACGCCCTGGCTGCGCAACACTAAGCAGTTTCGCCAATTCTACAGAATATCGAAAGCACGTTGACATTGTGCTGAAGGAGGAACTTGGGGAGATACACGTCGACATCCCTAGATTCTTTGACGCGTACTTTGGATACATTCCACAACTCACTGCAGTTTCACAATCGGTGTTGGAGGAGTGCGAGAAGGGGAACAGCCCACTTTACCGTGAAGATGAGGGCTGGAAGGGCTGGCCTGAACTTGCGGCAGAAAAAGACGTTCTGAGATGGCTGGCTAACATCATCGCTGAGCTTGTACGATTAGCCGAAGCACAAGAGCCGTCCTGGAAGATCGATCGTAGACCTCTCGCACAGCCAAGCCAGCCACTACAAGGGTCTGTCGCGGAGAGAAAGCTCGATGTCGGCCTTGTCGATGATCTGACGGCCACAGTGGACTCGAAATGTCACTGGTCACAAATCCTGGTGCCAGGGGAGCTGAAGAACGACCCGAAATACGACAGGAAATCCGGTGCATGGTTTGATCTTGGCAGGTACGCCCGAGAGGTCCTCGCTGCGCAGGACACCCGTCGTTTCGTGCTCGGGTTCACCCTCTGCGGGCAGTTCCTACGACTGTGGAACTTTGACCGCCTGGGCGGAATCGCGTCGGAGGAATTCAACATCAACCGGGACGGCCTTCGATTTGTGTCTGTTATCCTTGGATTCCTCTTGATGAGCCGGAAACAGCTTGGGTTTGATCCTACCATCGTCGCGACCGGGACCGAACGGTATATTGAAATTGATAGGAACGGTACGAAGGAACGGCTGATTATCGACGAGACTGTTGGACGAGCACGTTGTGTTGCCGGACGAGCCACAACCTGCTGGAAGGTATACTGTGAGACAGACAAATTACAGACGCCGCTGGTTGTCAAGGACTCCTGGCAGTATCCGGAACGCACTGAGGAAGGAGAGTTGCTGCGAGAGGCGATGGCGAAGGGGGTCAAGAATGTCGCGAGGTATTATCACCACGAGACAGTTCGCATTGACAACAAGGATGATGATGTCTTGACTATCAGAAAGGGCCGAGGTATTCCGATTTCGAAAGATGAGAAGGGTGGCTTTAACGCGAGAGTGCGGCGTAGTAGGTCTCAAAGAGGAAAAAAGAGCCAGGGCAGCACCGCCGGCCAGAAGCGATCATCTGACTGCGTGGACAAGGCATTTCCTCCTCCCCCAAGTAGGCGTACCCAGTCAAGTTCTCCATCCAAATCTGCCGGCAGCTCAGCCCCATTCAATCGAGTTCACCGCCGCGTCGTCATCCGGGATTACGGGAAACCAATCTATGAGAGTAGTTCGAAGGCTACACTTCTCACTGGGCTGGCCCGCTGTATTGAAGGATACATGTCACTCCATGATGAGGCTGGCCTCATCCAATGCGACGTTTCCCCCCGGAACCTGATGGTGAATGAGGACAAGGACAACCCATCATGGCCTGCCTTTCTGATCGACCTTGACCTGGCAATCAAGTTAGAACGGGATGGGTCTTCCGGCGCACGGGGCAAAACGGGCACCAGAGCGTTCATGGCCATCGGTGTCTTGTACGGCGAAAAGCATTGTTTCATGCATGATCGGAGTCGTTCTTCTGGGTCCTGTTCTGGATATGCATTCACTACGATGCCCCAGGGAAGGGAAGGATTGTCGAGCGTTTTGAGGAGTGGAATTATGTGAGCACTGAAAAACTGGCTGATGAGAAGAAAGGGGTGATTAGTGATGAAGGTGACTTTCTCAGGATTTTGAAGGATAATTTCACCCCATACTATCAATCCCTGATCACTTGCGTTAACCGGTTGCGGCGCCTTGTCTTTCCAGACGGCGGACGGTGGAAGAAACCAAATTTCAACCTACCACGGAACATGATTGAAACGCTTCAAGATGCACAATATAACTCAGATGCTGTAAACTAGTAAAGATTCTGTGTATTGTTTTGTCTTTTAATATAGCATCTTTGACGAAGAGATTGATTTTCTGGAAAGTCATACGAGGTGTACTTATGAGATTTTTGGAATGCCGCAAGGCCCAAAAAAGTTATATGATCCTACATTAAGGTGTATGATGATAGTATAGCTTTAATTGATAAATAGAATTAATGATTGCTCTTGTCCGTGGCGAATTATGTCCACTCCACTTAGACGGCTTACTAAATCGCTAAATGATCACTACAAGGATGAAATATAGGCCCCAGCAAATATTCAATGAAAAGAGATGGGAATAAGTTTGAACACTAATAAATATCTGGAGGTGGCCGCAGTCCAAAGGTATGTTGGTTTTCAGGAGCTTTTTAATGGGCGTTATGAGAAACTGCCGCCACGAAAGTGAACCGAGAAGTAGCCGTATGACCTCACATCCCATCAGCACCACAAATGAGCAGGTCGTCTTGGATCGCAGGTGTACATGTACATAGTCGGTAAGAATCACATTCCCCTAACCTGCGTTCCTTGTACTTATTCTCGACGGACCTTGCTGAACGGTCAGCAATAAAGCCCACTGGATATGGAAATAATGCTTACCGGCACTCAAATGCTCCGCGTTAGATCCCGATCTTCTCTCGCAGAGGCCCGTGGATCGGCAGTATCATATCGTTCTTTACTCCCCCCATTCTATCGCCTCGAGTATCGTGGACATTCGCTCAAGTATTTCAATCATTTCGAGCGCCTGGCTATGGATCTCCATGATTTCGTCTCGCCGAAACGTTTTGCCGCCGCCCTTGAGGTCCGAGGCGGTTGATGAAGGTCTTCGCGCGCCATGATTGGCATCCCGCATTGTGATGAACGCTTTAAAACTTCCTATTACAGGTGAGAAGAGCGACGGGGTTTCTGCTGAGATGCGAATATCTTGTCGATTTGCAGCGTATGATATATTACGCTTTAAGAGTATACATATAGATACCCAGAACCGAGGAGGCTTTTATACTTCTCTCCGGATCTAGACAGAATAGACGAACGGAAATGGGTTCGAGGAAAAACCCAAAGTGAGAGGCAAAGAAAGGAGGGAGAAGAGCAAGCAAACAATGACACAAACAAAGGAACACACACAAAGAAAGTACCATACCATGGGCGTAGGCATGATAAACCTTTGGGCTGGAATGTGATAGGCGATGTCAATCCAAAGCAAACGAGAGGACAATCAAGACAGGCAAAGTACGGAACAACAAATCAGAACCGAAATGGATATTGGCATGTTGCACAGACAAAGATTCTAACCGATTGATTTTACAATCTTGCGTCCACTGTCCCAGCGCGATCTCCTTTTCTGCTTGAAACGCATGTGGCCCGTCAGAGTAGTCAGTGAAGGCCGCTCGTCCTTCCACTCTGCATGGAATTCTTTGACCAGCTCCTCGCAGCCCGGGATCAGATCGCTCCGCGGTTGCCACGTAGGCCGCCATGCAACACGGTACTCCAGGAGTGGCGGCTTGCCCTTCCGCACGCGGATCCGGGAATCCAGTATCTCTTTGACCAGCCACTCCTCCTGTGTCGCACCGGCATAGCCAGCTGAGATTTGACGCCGACTCCCTGGATGTGGAGAGACGTCGTCGTGGGGTGCGCCGGCGGAAGCGCCCACTTCGTCCATGGTAAGAGGGGGAGGGGTTTCTGCATGTAGTAGAAGATCAGCGGGAGAACGCGGGACGGTAATTGAAGCTACTAAAAAGCTGACCTGGAACTTCTCAGGGAGTCAATGAAGCTCTACCACCATCCGCCATCCCGTCCGTCTAGCTCGTCACCATGATCAGTGGGCGCCTCGCGGGCAGGCAGCAGTGGCGAGGAAGTCTGTCCAGCTTCGGACTCGCTTGCGGGTTCACCACCGTGACCTATCTCCATCCACCCATCTACCACGATGAGGCCATCTGGAATAGGGCCGAGGTTAGCGGATCGAAAAGACATATCGTGAGCGAGTCAAGAAGAAAGACGAACCTCTACTTCCACCCAACCGGCATGCGCGAAGGCCGACTTCAGTGGCACTTTCCGCAACTGTATCCGCCTCCTCGACAGGCATACCAAGGCGGTCGCTGGCAAAACCGCTCAGATTCGATCCGGAGGGGATTGTGGCGTGCTCGTCCGCATCTCTCCCTTCCCCGCCAAGTGGTTGGCTCCCGTCGTCCGACGAGATCCCCTCCAAAATTCTGTCAAAGTCATTTACTGGAGTTTCGGGTGGCTGGGACCGTTGGCCTGCAGGGTGAGAAGAGATGGGAGGTGTAACAGAGGGGAATAGACGGGGGGGCAAAGGGTGTCTGAGCTGTTGTGACGGACAGAGTAGGGAAGTGAAAGAGTCGGCGGTGGGATTGGGTCTACATGCTGGCGGTTTGGGGCGTGTGGAGATTGCGGGCAGGTTCGGGCTTTGTGGCTTGGTTGCACTCATGGAATTTGGAGGTTGATAGAATTGGATCTTGTCCATGGTGACTACGGCCATGGCTTTGCTCTCTAAGTTTGGTTTCGGGGAAGCGTCGATTCTCGTTCTACGATCGGTGCTTTTGGGAGGGGAAAATCCGGCGCTTTTATAGAGCGACAACGGGAAAAGCTCCTCCATCGGCAGAGCACCCAAAGTTTACGAAAGTCTCATGGATAGATTCCAGCATCTTCAGAAAACGCCTCGCCTCCTCACTTCAACACCGGGAACCACCCGCAAAACGGTAATCGATCGCCATGCAACACATGAATGCAACATCGAGCCAGGGTTCCTCCGGACCACACCGTGGATCAGGCTTGAGCGTCGACGAATTAGGTACAGGCACATGCACTGGCGCCCAAGCCCTTGGATCATGCAGGAGGCCCCGTCTCATCGTCACACGATCACTGCGCCCCCCGATATTCCCTCGCCTCTTCAGCTGCAAACGGCTCAGCGTCAGGTTTGCCGACATCCCTCGCCAATCAACAGAATCGTGGGCCTGGGCGTGGCAGGCAATGTGAAGATGGGATACCGCGCTTGGACACAAGGATCCAAAGCCAACATTTCAAGAGGTGCCAATGCAGCTATCGATACCAGCCGGAGGCTCAGCCAAGGCGGCATTTTGCGTCCACACCCCTCCCACGTCAGCTCATAGTGTTCAGTCGCATTCCTCGTAATCTCGCTACGTCGCAGGGAAGGGGGGCTCGTTGGATCCACGTAATCTCGGGTTTCGCCGGCATGAGGGATTTTTGCCATTGGTCAAGAGCACAACGAGAATGCACCCGCAATTGCAGGGACACGTGTTCCATGTTACATCCCAGTGTCCAGCCGAGTGTCGCTAGGCTCCTGACGGGATGTTGGATCCAAGCAACCTCAGGTTTCGCCGATGTGAGGGATTTCTGTCATTGGTCAATAGCATATAGCGCATGTGCCGAAATTGGAGTTCGAAGGGAAAGAGAGCTAGAAGAAGAAATGTGAGGAAATGGGGATATTATCACATGAGACTCAGAGAAAGCCCCTTGCAGGGGGACAAAGAGACACAAAAGGAGTGAGGGAAAATATTTAGAGAGTAAAGCCTGTTGTCCATCCTCAAGCAGAGGCGATGTGTGTGTTGTGTAAATGTAATCTTTAGATTGACACAGTCCTTCCAAGAAGAGAGAAAATAGGGGGAAAGGCAGGTGCTGATGGGGAGTCTAGAAGGGATTTCATTTGTGGGGAGGGAGTGGGGGAAAGGAGCCGCGAGGGCGAAACGGTTCGGGAAGGAAGCTCGGCAGCAGGCTGTGGGAGGGCGAAAGGGGGGGAGCGGCAAGGGCAAAGGGGAAGGGCGAAGGAGAGGAGTGAGGCGAGGAGGGAAAAATTTGAGAAGATGGAAGGTGCATGGTCAAAGAGGGAAGAGGAGCGACCTTATATAGACTCCCGGGCCAGATCGATGATGTAACTCAAAGCGGCGAGCTCAAGGGGCGCCAAACCCGAACAGGCGACGGCAGGGTCGACGCGGCCAGGCCTGTTCGGGAAGCTGCGCGAGGGGGCGAGGGGGCGGTCTAAATCTTTACTCTTTATTTTATTTGTTTTAAATTGAATGTATTGTCTGTTGTCATTCTTTTGACATTCTTTCTTAAATTGAATAGTTTGAATAGTTGTTTGATTCTGGGCTGGAATTCTGCTATTGCATGTATTAAATTGATTTTGTATATTAACTTATTCTTAAGTTGAAAAATTCTGAACTATTTCAGATAAATGTTATAGTCATTAACTGCATACATTTATAATGAATGAATAATAATAATACTTTTTTAATATCTGTTATATTAACAATGAACACTTGAATGTTTTTCTTCTCATATATTTAATGAATTAATAATTTGAATGCTTTCGCTGATATCTGAATGAGATCAGTGATTTTATTGACATTCTTTTTATAAATACAGTCATTTTCTGAGAAAATAAATCAGTGATTGTATATGTTCAACAAGGTTTCAAATTCTGTGAGCTATAATAGACTGAGCATCAGATCATATTCAAGGGTTTGTATTTTGTATACATATAGATTTTTTTTCTCATGTTCTTCTACATTGACATTAAATTCTATCATGTTGTAGAAGGCAGATTCTCTGAGATCATCAAATTTACTGAGTTTATACAATTTGAGAAAAGAGATACATTGAAGCTTATGCTTCTCAATCAACTGAGTGTTTATAAGAGTGTAATGAAGAAAACCATTGTTTATCATTGCTCATATATTGATTAAATTATTTACAATGATAGAGATCATAATTGCATTTGCTTGCATCTTCTGCTCAAATCTTCAATTAATTTTTTACTTCTTAAGCTCTCATTCATGTTTTAAAACAAGAGCTCTTCTTTTCCCTGTTCTTGCTTGTCCACAGACGACACAGCATTCACACATATGAAGGGTTTATTTGAAATGAACACATTCAGACATTGATTTGTGAAGTGCTCTGATTTATCACAGTGTATGCAGACTTCTCTGACAATTCAGTCAGCAGTGTCTTTCTCTGAAATGTTAAGAAACTCTTAAATGGCTTGCATTTATATGTGAAACTCAATTTATTAATTCAATTGATTATGTTTCAAATGTTTATACACAACAGTCTATATAATTAACAATAAAAACACTCAAGTTTATAAAAAATCCCTTGTAACTACTAAACATTTAAGTCTGTAAACAATGCATTCAGATGTAAGAATTAATAATGAGACATTCATATTTTAAATGCAAAAAAATCAATTTATAATGTAATGAGCATATTTCAATTAACAATTTAACACTATTCTAAATACATATTATAAATTGATAAAAGACAGAAAGAGAAAAGAGATCAGAAGAAAAAATTGTATGAAGAAGGTTTTTATAAAAGAAAAATTAAAATAAAAGAATATTAGAATCTGCTTCACAGTGACATGTAGAGTGAAAGAATGTTAAAGACTATACAAAAAAATCATTAAAAACTATATGAGCACAGAATATGAAGTAAAAGACCATTAAGAGTTACATAAAAAAATTGTTAGAGATTACATAAATACAAAGTATGAAGTGGAAGAACATTGAAAGTTATATAAAATCACAATGACAGAAATGAGTGGGTGCAGAAGAGGAGTTGATTGTGTAAGTTAATTATTAACAAATATTAACCCATCACAAAAATTATGTATTACAGAGGTGTTGTAGCGTACGCAGCTTAGTAGGATAATACACGTCTGATTCTCTAAAAGATGAAGATGGGCGGACGCCCTTATATATACATGCTTGTTTATTTACAGTGATTGATTCCTGCGGAAGGAGCGATCGCAGGGTTATAAAAGGAAGGATAGAAGCCTTGAGTAGGGGCGGAAGAAGGAAGGGGTGGAGCGGAAGCTCTGGGAATCAGCGAGGGGTGGGTAGGGGCGTAAGTACGCCACAGGTGTTTAAGAATAAAGTTGAAATATTAAAAAGATTAAAAAAAAATGATAATTTCAATGTTAAATCCACTCATTTTCTCTTTATATAACTTTTTCAAAAAAGTGATAATCTCTCTCCAATCTGTCTCCTTCTCAAGAATGATTTTGATTGAAGATTCACATTTATTTGATAAGATAATTGCTATACAATTTACAATTTCTATTTTTTTGCAGTTTTGCTTCATAACATACTTTTCAGCTATTTTTTTTGCAGTATATTGAATACAATAAAAGTTGACAACCATATCATTTATTGTGACATTTTGTAACTTGATCTTTATAAACTTTTTTATTTTATTGATAATCACTCATTTATACAGTTTGAATGAAATCTTAAATTCAGAGATAAATGTTTATAAAAATTAAGAATTTTCTGATTGTGTTTTCTTTTTCTTCTTTTTTTTCTTCTTTTTTTTTTTTTTATTTTTCTTCTCCTTCTTATCCTCCTTCTCATCATCAATTGGATTCTTGTCATTATCCGGAACATTCAGAACAGGCGGTTTGGGTAGATGAAGATGCAGAGTAGTTGAAGTTCTTTTATGAGCTTGCAAGGCAATAGAACAGTGGGTGTTGCGGGGCATATTGACAGATTTGATGATAAAGATGCGTATTTGATGATAAAGGTGTGTATTTGAATGAATTGAATGATATTTGAATGATTCTAGAGATATGTGGATATTTTGATTATTTTTGCGGTGTTGTTCTACTATTTTTCAGGGGGTGGCAGAAAATTTTGTTTTCGCAAGCTTTACGTCCGCCACAATAAGAGACCCAATTGCGCATTTATTGGCTGCCATTTTACAAAAAAAAAAAAAAAAAAGAAAAAGAAAAAAAAAGAAAAGAAAAAAAAAATATGAATTCTGCTCGGGAGGTGGCCAGGAATAATAAGAAGTTCATCCTACCGCAAATCGCTAACTGTCGTTGGATTTTACCAGCGGTGATGAAATACCGTCTAACAGCGCTGTTTCTGGTAGGTAGTCGCTACAAGGCTAAAACCCGGGGTCCTGTGTTCGTAGTCACATAGGCAATCTTTAAGCTGAAGAATGATAGCTATTATTTGGGGTTTATTCATCTGTCCGTTTTCTCGATCTTCATCTAGATATTGACTCCTCTGGCAGCCTCAGGCTGGTCTTGTTCTTGATTTCAAAGCTGGGGTCAGCGTTGCATTCGGCTGAGGATTATCGATTTTGGCTACGGAGTACACTGGAGCGTATCCATGCCTTGCACGGGACAGCCAGCCAAGGCGCTATGCAGCAGCTGGCAAATCTGATACAGAGCAGTTTGACATAGGGGCTGGGACGAGTTTTGGGGGCCCAAGGTCCCAGAGCTTTCGCGCCGAGGGCTGGGGTGGTTTTGGGGTTTGGACTGAGATTTCCATTTGTAGTTTTAGCGTGTGAGTTAGTGTGTCAGATAAGTCCAGACTCGATGGAGTCAGTAGGCAACAAGTGATGATGGCGCTGATAGGCCGTGGGCCAGCCCTTGATCATCAGGATAATGCAGCAGAGACGGGAAATCGAGTGCAAATCGAGTGCAAATCGAGAGGAGTCAGGTAGCCCGATGGGCCAAATATAAGTAAGTGATCGAGTCCAGTGGAAGAAATAGAATGTTCTCCGACAAATTACAGAGTAAATGCTCATAAATGCCTGATGAGACAACAAGAAGTTGTCGGATGTTAGGTGGCACGTGCCTAGGGTAGCCGTAGTAATGCCTAACAGGAACTGCCGGCTGACTCACGGCACCCTCACTCCGCCACCACCCGCTG